TGACCAGGAAAGACGAAATGGTTTAAATAGTAAAACGGTCGGGAAATGAGATGTAAAGAGAGAGAGAACACATTGGGATATCTATGATATCTATGAAATCCCTCCCTCTCTCTCTCTCTCTCTCGTTAAAAAAATAGTCGCAAAGAGTGAGCGACCTAAACAAGCAACTATTGCCACTGTATGCCTATATATGTAAGCATTCTTACAAAATTAAATACAAGCCGCATGTCACACCACTTTTTACTTTTCACAGCCTGCATGCCGCTTCAACTACGTGTAAACAGAGCACAGTGATACCATGTAACGGATGATCAAATTATCACCATGCATAACGTTCAAAGGGTGGTTAGGACTGCACGTAGCAGCATATTATAGTTATCATGCACACCACCCTTGCTACATGATCAAACCCCAACATTCGCACAGTTAGGGTGGTTGTCAGATGATACCAGACTACATAGTGCAGCCATAGCGAACACAAGGCGCAGGGAAGGAAATTTGAACGTGTGCTTTAAATTTACAAAGAGGAGAATTCTTGCAACACCATTCAGATCAGGAGACCATAACATCCCAGCATTTTTATAGGCGTATCGGTCTTAATTTAGCTTTTTGGGAGAGATATGACCTACACACACCCAGCACCCCAAACAACAAGCAAATAAACAAAACGCACTAAAGGCACAACATAAGTCAGGTTTTGAAATGTGCTGAGGCTGCACCCCAATTCCAGGTTGCATAGGATGTGAGGGAACACACCAATGTACGAATACATAGTTTGTAAGATGTATTGATGGGCCCCGACAAGCAAGTCCTACTCCTTTTATTCTCTCTTCTGTCTGTTTCTGTCTGCCTGCCTTACTTTTCCCCAGCACAATAAGAGCTCAACACTGTTTTGCTTTTTAGTTTGAGTAAAAAGATGTACATCGACGCAATAATTTAGTGTTGGGAAAAGTAAGACAGATTGACAAACACAACAGAGAGGGAAAGTAAAGAAGCAGGACCTACCGGGTGGCGCCCTCCAACCATCCGATAAACCCAGCAAATCTTCAAACACATATTATTAGATGTAATAAATCCCAAACGTACAAATTAAACGACAGGCATTCATTTCTTGCTTTTTGTATCTCCCATATGCTGGATGAAAATTGTCGGCAATATTTTGTGCACCTGCAGCACGATTAAGATAATTTAAGATGCTGACAGCTTTGACCCTTTGAACCTGTCTGCAAGAGCCAATCAATCAGTCCTATGGAGCATATATATGCCCTAGCAGAAAGATGGACAAAATACCCAGGAGTAGATTGAACTAAGTCCCTCTACCCCCACAGCAAAACACCTAACCATTACACAACAGACATTTGTTTCTATAAGATCTCACGGTGAATACGATGAACGGCCACAGCTGCAAAAAGCTGCTGAACACGAAGTAAGGTTGATAGAATGTAGAAGAAGCATGATCACCACTTTTACTTTTTCAAATAGTATTATCAGCTTACTTAGGAATAAGATATCAATAGTTTAAGGATTCCATTTCTCCATCGGAAAGACAAGTATTTGTAATCAGCAGATGCTTCTGGTGTTACTGCATTTTCAAAACCCGGTTGGTCTCACAAACTAACCATTGAGAGAGAGAGAGAGAGAGAGAGAGAGAGAGAGAGAGAGAGAGAGAGAGAGAGAGAGAGAGAGAGAACGAGAGAGTTGCTCACATCTGTTACAACCAGTTGTGGAGGAGACTACGGTATACCTAAG